CTAGTTAAATTTCTAGTTTATAAATATAATTTTTTGGTAAAAAAAAGTTACTGAAAATTACCAAAACCTAAATAAATGAATGTCAATATATAAATTTTGTACAGAGGTGGAACCAATATCAACTTATGTAGATTTTGGTGAGAGAGAATTTCTGGTAGCTGATGAAAGAGGGTACGAACATTTGTTGTACAAAATGGCGGAGACTTTTCTTACCACGTGCCACGGTCAAATAACGGACACGCGGTTAAAACTCAACCAGGTAAAAATATATATACACAACATATATATATATATATAGTACTACGATTAATATTAATTTTGTCTCTGGGTAACATTTTCTTTTCATTTTAGATTTTACTTTTGTCTTTCCTTCTTTATTTTCCTCACGAACCAATCATCTAATACAAACAAAATTATGAAAGATATACTCTAGAATTCTGTGGAAAAATATTACTACAAGAAAACAAACATATGTGAGATGACAAGGGACATTATATGCCATGCCAAACTTCGTATTTCCTTTGTTATTTTCCCTGTTCGTGGAAAGTGACGTCTCGACATTTGATTACTTGTTTTATTTGTATACAATAATAATAATAATAATAATAATAATAATCCAATTGATGATATAATTATGTAAAAGTAATCCAAAGATAGCAAAGGATAATCACAACACCTTTCCTCATTTAAATATATCAAAAAAATGGACAATCTATTAATTAATTAATCATCACAATGATTTTATGATTATTTTGGTTAAGTGTGGTGTCATCACTTATCACCAGTTGATTCTCGTTTGTGATCTTATATTTCAAAATAGTCTTCTTATCATATTATAGCAATATCTATATGCGCATATGTAAATGTTAATCACTTTTATGATGGTTGAATTGACGTGGTCAAATTAATCTTGCTCCGGTTTTTAATTCTACGATGTCCAATTAACACGTATATGCGCCACGAAAATAAAATAAAATAAAATAAATTACGTAGCGGCTACAAAAAATTGGATGAATAAAATTGCTTAATGTGATAGTTTATTTTTTTATTTTTTTATTTTTTACGTAGCACCTGTGTAGGCGTAGTGATATTTGTTGACCCTTTGTCACGAATATTTGGAGTAAAGGAGACAACAATACACCCATGCATCATATCCAAATAAGCTATTCAAATTTTGTGGGACAAGTAAATATTTTTTTAATCTTAGAGGGGTCCCACTCTAGAAGATAGGAATTCTTGAAAACTTGATATTAGTCATTAATTAATCTTTATTTTTTATTAATTAAGTGGGACAAGTAAATATTTTTTTATAGTACATTTAATATATAGGATAGGGACTTGGAGAAATGTACCCTCTTCAATTAACTTATACACTACATATGTAAAGTTGTAAAGAGAGACTTCAAATAAAAAAGATTTGAGTAGAATTGCATGTCATTCTATTTCTCTCTAACTGTATGTTTTTCTAATTAAGTTGATACTTTTTTAATACTTTTATTACTATTTCAAAAGTTGTCTTATACTTAACATTATTTCGATTTTACATCAAATATGCCACAAATAATATTGCATGACTTTGAAATCATAAATATGGATCACTAATATGTAACATAAAGGTTAATCCATAAAGTGAAACAGTAGTTATCAAATCTTTAAAGTAGCGGGTGAAATGATTACCGTTTACACGTCCAGTTCATAGGATAATAATATCCATACTTTAAATTTATTCATAAAATAAAATAAATAAAAAAAAAAATCAAAAGAAGAAGGAGAAAAGATAGACTACATTAAATTGCTATATTAACAGTATCTATCCTTCATTAAAGCCACCATATGTAGGAAACAGTTAAAAATAAAAATTTCGAAACATACAAACACAGCGGGATACTGAGAATCTTTTGTGGGGTTCAAATTATTATTATCATTTGTATGCACAGTTTTTCTTGGTTTGACTTTTGGAAGATGCAGTATATGTATAATACTATATATTAGAACTAGAACAATGCATCATGAAGGTTAGATACTGATTATTATTTTTTTTTTCGGCTAGATGGATTAAATAATTAAATTAACGCAGTGCTATTGATAGGCTGTTTTGTTTTGTTTTTATTTTTAATGTAAAATAAGTATAAAATATTTTATATTGGAATAAATGAATGTATAGGTGGTTCGGGAATTGCAGCACTCGAGAAACGGCGTAACTCTGAAAACGGAGGATGGGTCCGTTTACGAGGCCAATTACGTCATTTTGTCCGTTAGCATTGGCGTCCTTCAGAGCCACCTCATTTCCTTCTCACCCCCTTTGCCCGTACGTACACTCCACTACTTTGTTCATTAGAAAACTTTAAATTTTATTGAATTAAAAAATTAAAAAAGAAGTAAATAGTTTCCATATACTTAAAAATGCAAATGTATTTATTTTACAAGAAATACTTTAAAGCCTGACACGTTTAGAAAATGGTAACTTGACAATCATAGTATTTTTTAATAAATTATATAAATATACATACTTTGATATACAAGTGACATATTTTAAAAAACAATATAAATGACAATTTGACATTTCATCTTATAAGCTTTTATTCATCTTTGGTTTGGTTTGTGACTTTGAACTTAAAACACAAGTGTAAATGTGTAATGTAATAGAGGAGTTGGTAATTTTGTAGACACTAATGAGCACCAAAAAAAAAAAAGGTAAAGAGTGATTATATGAGCATCACTAATGAGCATCCAAATAAATATGCACGAATTGATGTGCTATTACCGAGGCCCTAATTAGACATTCATCCATCCCCATATATTAATTCAAAACATATTTAGCATAAGAAATACTTTGGATACTGACATGGCAAAAATTTATACTTTGTAATGTTGTTTATATATTTATTTTTACTCTGGAGTCAGGGGTGGACCCACATAGGAACCCGCAGGGGCCCATGCCCCTGTAGGATTAAGAGGTCTTATATATATAAGAAATATATACTCCCTCCATTTTGAAATATAAGGCGTATAAAGATTTCTCAATTTTTTTGAAATATAAGGCGCGCTCAAAAATCAAGACATATTTTTGCATGTTTTTCTAAATATACCCTCATTGTGTTGAAATTAAGGAAGTGTGGAGTGGTTGTAATTAGAGTAAATAAGATTAATTTAGTCAATTTATTCATTAATTAATGTCTCCTTAATATTTGTGCAATAACCTTAAATGCCTTATATTTCAAAATGGAGGGAGTATTAAAGAGAGAGAGAGAGAGAGAGAGAGAGAGAGAAAGAATGCACAAATGTCCAATAAAGATTGATACAAAATTAAACCTAATAGGCTCTTAAATGAACTTTTATGACATATCATTGGAATGGTAATTCATAACTAGATAATTGATTTTTATACATCTTTTATTTTAGTTATTTTCTAAAAGAAAAATGATAGTTATATGTAATTAGCTGGATTGTTTTAATTGAGGGGTTTGAGTGATTAAACTAGCTCTTGTAAATGGATCTATTAACTAATTACCTTCTATATATTTTCTTTTTTAATTATTTGATTATTTATGTTAAGAATTATGAATTTTCACTAAAATGAATTTAATTTCATTAATGAACATTAATATTAAAATACAATATAGTACATAAAGGGCGTCTGCCCGTGGGCTATATTGGCTGTATGTAATAAATTGAAATAACCGAACCGACCAAATAATATATATATATATATATATATTTGTGTATATATATATTATATTATATTATATTATATAGATTATAATATAATATATATATTAATATTTATATTATATATATATATATAATTTAAAATGTATAGTTTGGTCGGTTTGACCAAACCGACCGAAACCGACAAAGAAGTTCGGTCGGTTAATGTTCTATTTAAATTGATAATTCGGTCGATTTCGGACATAGTATGGTTCAATTATTTTGATTTTCTTAATTCGGTTCGGTTGTCATGCATACCCCTAATTGTGCCCCTCCCCTTTCAAACTTCTACGTCCGTCCCTGTATGGAGTTAGGCTTGGTATTAGACATAAATAACTTTTTTCAAACTTAGTAAGTGTATATTTAATTTTTTTATTTCTTTCTCTTACGCAATCTTACCAAATTACAAATTTTTCTCATATTTCTTTCCTAAATTACGATTTACAAACCACTTTTTGCACTGTTTATTCCTCTTTTTTTTCATCAATTAGCCCATAAAAATTTTTAAATAAAAAAATTATTTTAGCCATAACTTTTATCATATATTTTTTACTTCAACACCTGTGTAGTACACGGGTATTGTACTAGTATTAATTAATCATCAATAATATAGTTATACAATTACTTTTATCTTAAATTACTTTTGAGGCTTGAGTGAAATTAATTTGCATGATAATATGAAAAAGACACAATAATGGGCACATGACCTTTAGCCTTTGCTTTGATTGCCTTTCCTTTGATTTGAATTAATGTGATGAGGGATACCATATATTTATGGGTCCCCTCCCCTCCCCATTTAGTTAGGTTGGTCCATCACCTGCCCTTTTTGTATGTGTATTCATTCAGTACTATATTGTTTTATTTTGTTTGTGATATTTAATTTTCCTTTTTTCTTTCTTTCTTTTTTTGAAGGAGATTTGAGTATAGCTAAATTATGCAACCTTATAATAATAAAATACATATACTTGCTCAGTTGATTGAGTAATTAACCTAAACATGTAGACCTGGAATTATTTTATGGGACTCTGGTTCCTGCATTTAAATCTATATAAATTTTTATGTGTAATTAAAACAGTAATTTGGTCTCTTGTTGAACACATTGAACTGCCAATGCCAAGTTGTGGGGGTGTAGAAATATTGGGGAAAATTTCTGTTTTGCTTCTGTGTATATGAAAATGAAAATGAGGGTAGTAATGATATTGTGTATGCTCTTCATATATATATTTTGTGTGAAGCTTGATCAATTTGTTAGAATTGATTGCCAACTTCATTTTCCCATTTGTGATTGCAATTGCCATTTTTAATTAGGCTACTAGGCTATAAGCCACAACTAGTGAACACAGGCTACATCTTCATCAATCCCAAAAAGTATCAACAAATTCAAATGCTGCTAAGCACCAATTTGGAAAGATATCATTGCAAGAATCCTCTGCATAAACTTTTTCTTGTACCATTTCTTAACTTTGCCAGAACTCTTCAGCAAATTAATATTGCTAATTTTGATGCATGTGAGCATATATGAATGTATAATTTGCGCGTAGCCTAGCAGTCGATTTGCATCTGTCTTGCCTACTGCCAGCCCTGAGCAACGCCCTTATTAAATTAATAATTACAGAATAAACCTGTGATAGGAACCTTAAATAACATGCTAATTATGTGAAACGTAAAAAATGCAACAGAGATGGAAAACGGAAGCTATTTCAAATTGTGAGATTATGGTGTACACAAAGGTTTTCCTCAAGTTCCCGCGTAAATTTTGGCCATGTGGTCCTGGCAAAGAGTTTTTCATCTACGCACATGAGCGTAGAGGCTACTACACCTTTTGGCAGGTTCGTTTTCTTCTTTCACGTCTAATTTCTAGCCTGCATTCATCATTATCAATTCAACACGAAATCTATTCTAGTTTATTAATTAATTAGTTCCTTCAATTGTTGGTCATCACCAAACATGACAGATTATGACTAGTATGAAGCTTTCTTTGTTTGTTGATCTCACGAACCAACTTACAAAGATTTTGACCATTACAAAAGTTCCGCGATTAATTTGTCTTTCATTAAAAAAAAAAAAATCGAAATTCCAGATATTAATTTGTTTCCAAAATTTGGGCATCCAGCACATGGAGAATGCGTATCCGGGCTCAAACATCCTAGTTGTCACCCTAACAAACGGCGAGTCGAAAAGAATAGAGGCGCAAGCGGATGAAGAAACTATGAAAGAGGCAATGGAGGTTTTAAAAAACATGTTTGGGCATGATATACCATGTGCCACAGACATCCTCGTACCTCGTTGGTGGAATAACAGATTCCAGCGTGGCAGTTACAGTAATTACCCGATTTACGTCAACCGTCAACTTGTCGATGACATTAAGGTTTTTTTTGTCCTTACCAAGATAATTATTTGCTTTTTTTATTATTAATATTATTATTATTGTTATCGCCTCACTTTTTGTGGTCCAGGCGCCAGTTGGACGAATATTCTTCACGGGCGAACATACGAGCGAGAAATTTAGTGGCTACGTGCATGGAGGTTACTTTTCAGGTGAGAGTTCATGCAAAGATTAAGGCTATGTTTGGTAAAACTAGCTGATAAGCTATCTTATAGCTTATCAGTAATTTTTGAGCTTATAGTTATGACTTATAGCTGAAAAGCTAGCTTATATGATAAAAGTGTTTGGTAAAATTAGCTGCTGAAAAAAAAAAATTCAACGAGCTTTGAAAAGCTACCCAAAGAAGCTTATCATATAAGCTTGAGCTTTTTAAAAAAGCTAGTCCTATCAAACGGAGCTTGTGTATTTGAAAACAGGGAGCTTATAAGTTAATAAAATAAGCTATATAAGCTAGCTTATTTGTCGACCAAACATAGCCTAATTACTAGCAAAACACTGAATTGGATATAATTAATCATTTATTGTATAAAGCAGTTGACATTATGTTGAGCAGGGATTGATACAAGCAAAGCCTTAATTGAAGAAATGAGAGCAGAAAAGGAAAGGAGAAGAGAAAGTCAAGCATTGTTAATGGAACCTCTGTTGGCCTTATCCTTACCACCCTTGGCTGCTCAACCAAATATCCCCCAGTTCGATACGCCAAGACAGCTTTTCCTTCACACCAATCTCATAAACGAACCAAACAAATCTTGAGGATTATTATGTAAATTTGTTGACAATCATGACTTTGACATGGTGAATTGAACAACAAGATGGATGGGTGATGTAAATTAGAGGAGGTAAATAACATTGGATGGGGAATGGCTTCTGATTATATTCATTCTCTTGAGCTGGATAGCATAACACTGAAAAGTGGAGACTGTGAATGACTTAGGTTGCTGGCTAATGTTATTGAAGTTTCTTCTCATGACCTTTTTTTTTTTTTTTTAAANACAACATTTGAAATTTCAAAAGGTGCTCAGACTATGATTTAAAAGTATTTTTCTCTCATAATGTGCCGGCACACGAGCGGCTAAGGCTCTCGACGGCCCTTAATTTCAAACTGACTGAATAATCTGGGGAAGTATCTCGGTGTACCTGTCCTTCATGACCGGTTGACCAAAGCTACCTATCACCATATCCTGGAAAAGACGGAGTCCCGTTTAGCTGGATGGCGTATGCAAACGCTTTCATTGGCTGGACGGGTGACCCTTACGCAGTCGACTTTGAGCACCCTACCTTTCTACTCGATGCAAACGCTTTCATTGGCTGGACCGGTGACCATTACGCAGTCGACTTTGAGCACCCTACCTTTCTACTCGATGCAAACGAACATGTTACCGAAGTCCATAACGGAAGGCCTTGCTAAGAAATGTCGAGCATTTATTTGGGGTGGTACTGAAGCCCGAAGGAAAATACATCTAGTGGCTTGGAAGGATGTGTGCAAACATAAAAACGAAGGCGGGTTGGGAATCCGGGACCTCCATCGCATGAATGATGCTCTTTTGATGAAAGTCGGTTGGGGACTATTAAATAAACCTGACTCTCTGTGGGTGCGTGTAATTTCGGCTAAGTGTAATTTGAATTTATCGGCCTCGCTGGACTTAGGAACCGGACGGCATGTCTCGCAGTTAATGCGTGCGGTTCGTCTTGTATGGCCACATGTAATTAAAGGTGTCCGGTGGATATTGGGAAATGGCGAGCGAACTCGATTTTGGCTTGATTCATGGTTAGACTCGAGTGGACCGCTGTTAAGGTTTGTTGACCCTTCTGTACATTAATGCTCTTGTTGCTGATTTGGTCGACTCAGATGGAGGATGGAAATGGGCTTGCTTTCACTGCATCCTCCCTTCGTCTATCGTACTGCGGATCGCTGGGACTTTACCACCACGCGCGGCTGCCGGGGAGGACCGCCTGATATGGGGACTGTCCGCGAACGGTCGTTTTACGACAAAATCTGCGTACAACTCATTATCTTCCACCCTGCGCGACAACCATCAACCGCTCTGGACCACCATTTGGAGTACTCCGGCACCACAGCGAGCTCGCACATTTCTGTGGCTCGCCGCCAAGGACCGGCTCCTTACCAATGTCGAACGAGCCAGGCGGCATATAACGGCTTCTGCGGCCTGTGAGCTGTGTGGGGAAATGGAAATGGTGCTGCACATTCTTCGAGATTGCCCTCCCACGCGGGACCTCTGACTTCGCCTATTACCGCCGGATTATGATCGAAATTTTTTCCGACTATCCCTGGACCAGTGGTTGCGTACGAATCTCTCGTTGGCGCGAGGGAGGGGTAGCGAGGAGTGGAGCAGCACATTTGCCATCGGTGCATGGCGGTCATGGCTCTGGCGCAACACGCGGATTTTCAAGAACAAATGCCTTGCTGTTGAGGTTCGTCGGCTTGAAGTTCTGAGGCTAACGGAGAGTTATTCCCGTGCGAGAGCGGATTATGTACGGGTGGGAGCAGTTGTGCATGTTACTAGGATGATTCGGTGGGCTCCTCCGCCAGCTGGTTGGATTAAAATCAATTCGGAGGAGCCGCTTCTACCGTCACAGGCTTGAGCTGCGCGGGGGGATTACTCAGTGATGAGGGAGGACGATGGATTGCGGGCTTTCTATTTAACATCGGAGTTTGCACTATTACAGGAGCTGAGTTGTGGGGGAATATTTCAGGGCCTATTGGTGGCTTGGGAGATGGGATTCCAGAATGTTATGGCGGAGGTAGATAGCAAATATGGTCTGCGATTCGGAAGAAGATTTGGGGCCCCATGATGCACTGATTCGAGCTATCCAAGAATTGATTCAAAGAGATTGGAGATCCGGCACATATATAGGGAAGCTAATTTTGCGGCCGACCATTTGGCGAGCTTGGCGGCATCCTATCCGATTGGTTTACATCGTTTGAATTCGCCTCCGGCGGGTCTAGGCACTTGGATTGATCCCCGACGAGTTCTAGCTTAGTGTTTTAGCATCTTTCTTTGTNAAATGCGATGAGCCTATATGGCACTTCAGAATCTTACTTGGCGAAAAAACATGTTTCGTAGTTTTGTTTGTATAAAAAATAATATTGTTATAAATCAATAATTTTAGGTTCGGACATTCCAAAAATATTAAAAAACTAACTTGGTAATTCCATAATAGTTTGACTAATATAACTCTTAAGTTGTATGGGAACTTTTGGTAATGATATTGATTGACTAATATAACCTTGATTTGCGTTGGAAGCTCTCAATCCGCTCATTAATTTCTATGAAAACCTCAAATTAACATAATAAATACATATATTTAATTTTAAACAATTGTTGTTGTTATTATTATTATTATTATTAAATTTTAAAAATAATTTTCTTAACAAAACCCGTGTAGTACACAAGTATTGTACTAGTAACATACGAAATCATGAAAATTTAACTTTTGCCATGATTTTAGCGCACTCCACTTATACTTAATGGAGCCTAATGTGAAAAGTGCAACTAATATCCTTAAGCTAACATATTTTTTAAATTGTAATAAGTACTTGATTTGATAAACGATTCGGTTTCATTGTTATTGTTCTTGCTCGGCCAAAATGCTTCAACTATTTATTCAAAATTGAAATAGTACTTCAAAAATAATTTGCAGCACTGCTTCAAAATCTCTTCTTGAATGGTTTGGAATTGAGATTTTACTTCAATTTCTGAAACATTTTTTTTTTTTTTATTTAAGTTAAGGTTGTACAGTTTGTTTCAAGGAGGTGGAAAAAAAAAGGAAAATAACAGAAACAGTTATTGCAAATGAATAACGAACACATGAGTGACCTATAAATATTTTTAGCCATTCGTTACGCAGCTTAAAACCAAAATCTTGGAGTAGAACATGCATTCGTTTTGCTTGCTTAGCGGCCAGATCGTGAAACGAGGCACAATGCATGCGAAGCCCCCACAGCAACAGAAATTACAATATGGTCCCCGAGCCCATCATCCTCGTTAAGAAACTTGACCTCGACTGGAGTTGACTGAATCTCAGGAAGCCCAGGGACTCCTAGCTGACTATCAGCTGCATAACCCCACATGTACAACTTCCCCTTATCTGATCAATTCAAGATTCTTTTTCAGCAAATATCATTCACAAATCTCATTCACTCATAAATGTATTCCAATACTTAAATAGTTGAAAACAATAGCTAATATTGTAATCTAATTCAGGAAAAAAAGAAAATCTTGCAAAAAAATTGCTTCAGAAGACTCCACGGAATTCTGTAACTAGTTTAAACCTCAAGGCAGTTTTGCAATTTTAGCCGATATTATTTAATAATTGCAAATTTGTTGAGAATAATCCCTAAGTTGGTATCTTTTACCAGTTATAGCAGCTGACGATGAACCTCCACAAGCAATAAAAGTGACCCTCTCATTAGATAAGGCTTCAACAGGTTCAGGCACTTTTCGACTGTGAAGTGAAGAATGACCTAATTGACCATGTCCACCGTGACCCCATGAAAGAACCTCGCCTTTGTCTGATAAAGCAAAAGTTAAACACATTCAGATGTTCTCCAAATTGGCCGAAAACCAATTTGATGTATAGTAAGTATTGTAGTGATTATACCTGTGAGGGCAAGAGAATGATATCCACCACTAGCAATCTGAATCAGGCGAATGCCTTTAAGACTAGGAATGGGTTGGGGTTTCCACCCACCAATTTTGTCACCTCTACCGAGCTCATAGTTAGAGTTGGCTGTGAACAAAAATATTCTTTAACGACATAATTAGTAAACTCTCAAATGGTTCCGATAACATACCATTATTATCTGTCATTTTAACATATTCCTGCAGCGTAAGTTAAAGCTCACCTCAGGTTTAGTCAAGTTAAAAACAGAAAAAGTGATTTTTTAAATTAGAAGTAGCCCCTTTAGGATTTTCTTATTCTGCAAATAAAACCCCTTCAATAGGTGCAACATGCGAGAAAAAAGATGGAAAATTTGTAAGATTTTAAATTACAAGTAGCCCCTTTAGGATTTTCTTGTTCTGCAAATAAACCCCTTCAATATGTGCAACATGTGAGAAAAAAGATGGAACATTTGTAAGTTCAATAGACAAATGGGTCCTGTGATTACGCTTTAATCTCTAGGGTTATACATGCAATTATGCATAACTATACTGTAGGTTGCAAATGTTACAACAAAGAACAAGAACACTGAGAAGCACGGGTCTTTACCACCCCAATTCCAAAGTTGCCCTTCTTCGGTAAGTGCCATCGTGAAAAAGCCGCCGCATGAAACAGCAGCAATCGGCTCAGGCAATGCTTTTACCTGAGAAGGTGTGCTATTGCCGCCAGCAAAGTCAGGACCACGACCAGGGCCAAGGCCTAATCTACCATCCCCTTCATCTCGTCCCCAAATATAAAGTTGGCCTTAATTATAAACGAAAAAAAAAAAAGTACATTGAGATAAATAGAAAAGTGAAGTAGGAACGTGTATGTGTTCAGAAGCTACCAACCAAAAGGTACACACACAGTAATAGATTGCATATGCAAATATAAGTCAATTGATTTGAATAGCTCTCCTGTTCTTCAATACTGTAAACCAATAATAAAGTCTAAAATGTGGATGTCTAACCAGATTTAGTGATAGCAGCTGTATGTGTACCGCTGGTAGCAATATGACATATTTGTCCCTCCCAAGATCCTTTGACCAATTTAGGAAGCAGCTCACGGTGATAAACAGAATGCCCAAGGGCACCAAAACCACCGTAACCCCTGAAAACTTCATTTTGCAAACAAGTATCAAGATTTTTTTGCAAACAATAGCACAAATCAAAACTTATGGTGCGGAATAGAACACAGAATAAAAATCCCATCTTGTGCACAAATAAGCATAAAAGGCAACACAGTATGGATGAGGTGAGTGAGACTATCCAAATGCTAAAAGAGGTACTGACCAAGTGAAAACACGGCCATCAACATCGAGCACAACGGAATGGAGCCCGCCAAGGGCAATGCTTCCAACATCTGATTCTATATTAGGATTAAGAGTGGGCACAAAAACTGGGTTTTCATGCCCGAACCCTAGCCGGCCTCCGTCGCCTTTGCCCCAAATCCACAGATTCCCGTCCACCACCAAACCAGAATGGAAAAGCCCACAAGAGATGCCCACCTCCATTTTGGGCTCATTGGATACCGGAAATTGGGAGAGACGACCGGGAGTAGCGCGGCAGAGAGAGAAATTGGGCGGGACGGAGAGGGTGGCGACGGGCGACGGGTACATTCGGAGTTCCTCGATTCCTCCGCCGAGCTGGCCGGAGGCGCCGCGGCCCCACGAGAACAGCTGAAGAGTGGTCGATTCTTGTGTGTCGGTGGTCGGGAAGGCGGAGGTGCTGGAGTGGTCGTAGAGCAGAGGAGGAGATTTGGCGGCGGAGGAGGAAAGAGTGCTGTGCCAGGCGAGATGAGAGCTGGGAGAACGCATGGGCGTGAAAATGCAGCGACGAAGGGCCATCGCCGGCTGTAGAATATTTGGGTTTGTCTCGGAGAGGTTTTACAAGATTTGATTTGGTCTACAAGGCCAAAAATAAAAAATAAAAGGATTTNTAAAAAACGCATAATTGTGCAAAGATACAACCAACAGCTGAATAAACTGGGAGAAAAGATCAAAAGATTGCCTATAACCGAAACTAGCAACGCTAGAAACAAAGACACGACTCACGACACGACAAACACAAAAAACACTAAGTGACACAAGCACATACAACATAATAAAAAACTAATCTCTCTCTCTCTTCCCCAAAACCCCCCTTCTCAAACCCTTAGCCCCAAACCAGATCCAGCGGCGCCTCCTTCCGGCGGAGGCGCCGCACCTTCGCAATTAGACCGACATCGGGATCGTGATTCCTCCCAAGGCGACCTTCACTCTTCTCGGACTGCGTGGCGTCTCTGCTTGGGCGACTGACCATGGCGGTTTCAGGTAGTTTGGGGGTTTTTGTCCTGGTGGTGGCTTGACGGCCGGCGTCCTTGTCGTGTAGCGGTGGAGGGGCTGCGGTCGGCGGTAGTCTTGGTTCCCCTTTCCTGCTTCTCCGTGGTGCGAGGAGAGTGGGTTCTCTGGCGGGGACGGTGGTGGCGAGCTCGCCAGATTGTGTGGGGGCCGAGAGTAACGGTGGCTCCTGGTGTTGACCCGGCAGTGGTCTCTGTGGAGAGGGGTGGTATTGACGGTCCGGTACGAGTCTTATGACGTTAGGGTCCTCCTCGTTGCCGTGTATGCCAGTTACCTTGCCCTCTCTCGTAGGGTATTCCTTCCGGGCTCAGGTTCGAGTGGTGAAGGTGCAGTGCTATTAGCCTGCCGTGGAGGAGGGCTTTAGTGTAGTCTAATATTAGGTGTGTTTTATTTGTGGTGTTCTTGTTTTGTGTGCCTTCTTTGTGGTGTTTTTTTTGTGATGTAGTGTTGGTTTAGGTTCTCCCGTTGGGAGTGTTGTTCTCCACTTGTGGGAGTTCTGTTCTCCACTTGTGGGAGTTTTGTTCTCCCGTGTGGGAGGTTTGTATTTTATTTGTTTCTTGTGGGTGAGTTGTGGTATTTAGGCTCCCTTTGAGATGTCCTCTCACTTCGGCCATTTGGCCGCCGACTTCGGCTGCTTTGGTCGATCTTTGTGTTGTATTTATGTGTGTTATTAATGAAATTCTATCGTTGGAAAAAAANCAACAAACAAAGCCCTTCCGTAGCAGAAATATCTAGTCGAACCAGCAGATGAACAATCGATTTGAGGGAGAGGTCCAAAGGCCCAGGAACAACAATTGAAACTGCCGAACCACCTAGCTAAAGCTAAAACCAAGCCCAGATCAAAACCTGAAAAATGATTCATCCCCAGGCGGAGGAAACCAACACCCCTCTACCGGCTAATACCACTAGCCGAGACCAGCACCGCCCCACCCGGCTAAAACCACTAGCCGAGTACAGCTGTGCCAGCTCCCCCGAACCCAACAAAAGATAACCGGGAAGAGAAGAGTAGGTCGGCCCCTCAGCTCAGACCACTGAGTGCCACAGGCCGCCTGAACCTCGTCCTACTCCCAAACCCACACATCACCCAGCGTCATGGCAGCTCCGGGAAGCTGGCGACCGAAACCCGCGAGACCTCACCGGGAGAAGGGAAGCCCGACCGAATCCCAGCAACTACCATCGCGACAGGAGAAGGGAAGACCACCGGGCCGTTGGAGACGCGCAACATCAGAGAGGGACGGGCCGCCGAGGGCAACCACTGGTCAAAACAGCGATTTTGCCGAGGAAGGCAAATGGCGGCAGCTAAAAGAAGGACGACGAGCAGCGATTTTGGGGGAGGCGATTTGGAGATGGGGTTTTGAGAAGTTATGGCGGTTTTGACATTTTGAATCTTTACATTTTTTAACTCAAAATTCAATTTAAATTTAATCCAACTCAACTCTCTTAAATAGTATTTATAAATAATATTAATCAATCATTTTTCACACATCAAATCAATTTTAGTTCACTATTTATTACATATTTTAACTATTTATTATTTTCAATAACTCATCTTTTACTTTTATATCACATCAGCTTTAATTATAATATTTTAAATAATATATAAATACAAACTCAGAATCTTACTCGATCCTCCAATCAATCAACTTTATTTAAAATTTACTCACTTTAATTCAAAATCCAATTAAAATTGATTTTAATCCGTTACTAATCGCGCTCTAGTGTCTAACTTATATTTTGGAAGAAAATTATACTTTGCCTACCTAACAAAATCTAAGAAAGTAAAATCCTCTAAAAAATCTAAGAATAGTAACTTTAAAATTTTTTAGCGAAACTTTCAATATGATTTCAAGTAAATCCATCTATTATATAGTCACTAACTAAAATCATACAATTTGTTTCTTTTTAACAATCTGATTTTAAGCACTCTAAGTCACATAATTTTTTAGATTATATATCTATAAAAAATTATTCAAACAAAATGGACATTTCGAAACACGAGTTTACATTTTACATGGTGTGCAATTCTCTCTAGATTAATTTTGACCTTGTTCTTTCAAATATTTTATCACCAACGACTGAACAAGAATGAGACTCCTTCCCTATGTAAATTTTCAGGTATTCACTTGCAACAACTTATTTTCGCATCCTCATACAAGATGCTACAACAATTCATGATCTAAGTTAAATATTTTCGATAAAGTTCCTTAGCTATGGCAAAAGCATCCCCCTCAGCATTTACAGGGTAAAGCTCGACACCAGCTTGCCACTTGTTAGAGAATGTAATCCACTCTTTTCTCCATTCATCCACCTTAAAATCTTCATTGCCTTTCAAACTTCTCAACAGTCGTGCAAAATACAATGATGCACGTGGAAGATAGTAATCTTCTAATAGGCCGCTCCAAAACTTATTTGCTGNGAGAGTATCAATATCCAGAAAAAAGAATATGAAAATTAATTATGGAAATAAATTGTCTTACCATAATCATGAAGCTTGCTCTGCATATTCTTGGTGTTGTCGTACCACATTGTTACTTGTGTGCGTGCATTCCACTCGTACTAAATCAAATACGGATAATTCAGATAAAAAAGAATCCAAACTCTTTATCGTGTTTAAACTTTGAAGATCATTTAGTTTCTTGAAACTAGCTTAAATTACAAAACTTACTTTAAAAAAAAAAAAAATAATAGTTGCTTTTCGAATTAACAAAAAACCAACCACTTACGGCATTTAACTATATATCAACACATGTTTGTATTTGCATAAAAAGTACTGTCTCTAAATAGTGAGAAAAATAGAACTAAATATATAGGGAATTAATAAGGAAGAATAATATTCTCACCTGTCTAATCTCATCTGGATTCAATGCCATTTTCTTGGCACTTTCAAGCCAGGTGCCGAGTAGGAAATTATCGTCTGCAGCAAGAAGCCTATCTATGTCTTTGATAAGTTGTAAAAACTTCAGGCTACTAGTATTTAATGAGTTTGCATCCTTTTTCCAGTACGCATGTAATGCTTTCAAATACAACTCGTTCGCAAGCTTCGAGAGTGACTGTCTAGTCAGGTCAACCAAATCATACCTGCAACAAAGTCTCCAGTGAATCGATTTTTGCAAATATACTATAAGTACTTGAAAGGAGTAGAAAAGAAATTTGCATGTGTCAGTTTCGATCTTATTCAACACTAAAAAGGGCAAAATTGTAATTTTATTTTACCTGTACGTGGGAAGTTCGGCAAGTTGGTTTCCAGCAGCAAGGAATAGGTTCAAGGCATGGACAGCATCGTTATTTTCGTACCACATGTGAGGACGAGGCAAGGACGAACTTGTCTCGTGAAGAAAGAACCTTCTCTGTTTTTGTGTATTCATAAATTTATGCCTCTGAATTATATCAGGCTTATCAAGTTGGTTATTTGCTGATGGATCCCAATCAGGAAATTTAACTATGTAATCTGTGTTATGGTCCTGCATGAAGTTGGTTCAGAAACAAATCAGTTTCAATGAAATTTTTGCCAACAGAAACAGCCAACTTGTCAAGAAACTGGAAATGACATATAAATGTCGAGAAACGGGAAAAATCCATGATTTTGCAACAAAAACCACTTAAATAGCAAAGGTTTACTTGGCAAATCTCTCAAACACATCTGACATCACAATTGATAAAACTCTTCGAAAAAGTACCGCAATTCCGTCAGTGCAGTTATATATTGTTCGATGAAGAATTTTCCAAGCAGCTTCTACTTCCTGTACATGTTTACCATATCGTCTACGAGAATAGGTTGTCAGCCATTCCTGCAAGTTCAGGCAAGTCTTTAGCAGCTAAGCAGAACCGTAAAAAACTGTAGGGCGAAGCGAATAATGAAATATGTATTCTAAAGGGAATGAAAAATAAGTAAGAGCAATTTCTTGTACCTGAAGCTGAAAAGAACCACTTCTAAATGCCATTTCAGACATCAGCTCGTATACAACGGGATTATGTTCTATGCCTTCCATACACATGCCAACACCAATCTGTCCAGAAAAGCAGGATCGCATCACACAAAGAAAACATGTATAGTTGTAACTTTTGACCAAATTCATTATCTTTTTTGGATTCATGTTTTTCTAAATTTCCTCAATATATCTTCTGGAGTGTTCTTTATGCCATTGTTTCACTTGAGAACTTTGGACCATGAGAAGTTTCAAAATAAACAATGTCATACATATGTCAGGCTCAGGTTTGGGAAAGTCAGATTGCTTTTTAGAGTACAGCATGTGTGTAACACATACTCGTATTTTGATTTAAAATTTTACTGGAAGATATTTTTACAGTACATGATTTACAAGTGATGCAATCAAAAGATTTTAACCTTATATTGGTCCAATAGCAGAAACACAGTTTTGCTATGGAGCCAACTATTGGCTCCATACTGGAGCCAACCTCCTATACATAGGAAGTAAAAAATAACATATTTTCTAATTAATAGAAAACGCAATTAACAAATACTTAAAAAGAAAAATATTGATTCTACTTAGCAACTACTTAATAAGAAAATACAATTAACTACTCAACCACAATGAAAGTAAAAGCACTTATATTTTTAAATATAAATTTGAAAAAAAAATAAACACTACAAAAAAGTTTGTAGTATTTTTTCAATTTAAATTTTGAAAATGTAAGTATTTTTACTTTTTCAATATTTTTATATTTCTTATCAAGTTGTTAATTGTATTCTTTATTTTTTATCTAATTATAAAATATGATAATTTGTACTTACTATGTATAGGAGGTTGGCTTCATTATGGAACCAACACTTGGTTTCATAGCAAAACTCAGCAGAAACAATAATCAACTGAAACTTTTGACATCAAAACACACTACCATTGTAGAATTCTTGCTGACACGTGCATCAATAGGTCCTGAAGCCACTGTATCTAATATGCCATACATCTCGATATTCCCACCAAAGTTGTGCAGCATACACCTGTTACATAATAGATATCAAGAAATTGTAATGGTTTCTCACTGAAGATAATAAAGTATACTGAGTTGGTCACATGCCATATATAAGGTGTATGGTAAAACTGAGAAGAAGACTTCCAAATTGGTTTGACATCAGCAAAAAGATCGAGCACAACCATCTTCCCAAATGGAACAGAATGTAGAAGTGCCTGCAAGGAAGTAATTAGGTTGACACTGCAACTCAGCTTCACAAAAATCATTGAACATGCATGAATATAAAAGTAAGACAACCCCATAAATATATCATTTTAGGAATCATAAAAGAACAGAATGCAAACGTAAGACGACCAGCAAAACCATAACTAGTATGTCAAGGAAAGAACCTGTGAAAAATTCCCATGCTGCTAACTAAAGAAAAATTCACTAGTGATGAGCAGACATAAGCAATAGATAAGTGGTGCACAAACAACTCAAGAAGATCATGTCCTGTTCAAGTGTGTATTTAACGTATCTATGGAGCTTAGTCCTTGAAAATCATCACTAAGTTCTTTCAAATGCCTTTTGGAATAGCTCATATCTGTTTCGTATAAAATTGTTTCCAGATTCCTTGCTAAAGTACTATATTAAACAATAATTGATTCAAAACACGTATTGATATTCAATATTAAACTATATTAGTAACCCTATACAGCTAGGCCGAAAGGCCCGAAACAGTTTGGATATGCATACAGCTTGTATTCAACAGAGAATATACTTGTTTCATATTTTTTTGTAGTTGGCTTTAGTTGCACATTTTTGGATACTATAACCAGTGGGAAAAATACATTGAAAGGAAGTCTTTCAGTCATGAAGTTATTGTGAAGGTATATTCTTGCTCTCGACTCTCATTACCACCTCACCTTCATCTGTGGTGGTTTCCAAAATAATGAATCCGAATAGAATAGCCAACCCTGAAACAGAGCAAAAGGTTAAGACACCACAGCTCGGAGAATATAAAATATACCAAGCTAACACTTACAAGAAGGATAAGCATGAGTTGATTAGGAAAGATAAATATATATAAACGCAAATCAATTGCCATGTGTTGATTAAAGAATGCCCATTGACATGGGCATACGCCCATAAATCGCTTGTTATTGAACAGATGCTATTTTATCTTAAACACTTTTTTAGAAGTTCTTACCATTGTTTGCGTTGATTATTGGTTTTGATGTGAACATTAGTTATGAAAAAAAAATTGCTTGAAAAATTAACAAACAAAGATTTGTTGTATCAAAGAAGGGTAATGATAGGCATGCCTAACCAGGGAGGATGAGAAAAAAGCTCAGTTAAATCATACTTGCATTAGCCACACAGCATCATTGTTGGCTTTAGACATTGCCTCATATACTGCAGAACCAAGAGATGAGATATAAGCTGGGTCACTCGTAGGTGGGGAGTTCTCATTGAATGTATCACTGCAGTGCAGCCACAACAATTTTATCAAATATATATAAAGATGTATGTATATCTATATATATGGGCTGGGAAAAAAACAAAGAGCATATAATTGCTTTTAAGTTTGAAAACACCATCCAGACCATATCCAAATCATCAAAGTTCAGTTTTCCAGATACTGTCATGAATCACTAAATAATTCCACTAAATCAGTAAATCACCAAAGAAATAAATTTATGTCAGTTAGATCTTCTATTAGGCAAATGATTTTGGTGAAGGTGTAAAGCTTCTGTACACTCTTAGCCAGTCAAATAATATACCAAGATTCTGGTGTTAAACAACTGATGCACAGATGGGTTTTGTTTACATTTTGCCCTATCAGACATCTACAGTTAAGCGTAACCTAATCGTTTCCAGTTATCTCAGTTTATATCCCAAAAAGGTAGGTAAAACACAATGACTTAACGCATGAAGGAATATATTTATCATTGTTATGTAATGCTAGGGATTCATGCATTCTTGGCTTACCATTTAAAATTCTTTGACAGAGAAATAATGCTACAGTATCATGGTGCACTGTGTCATTTAAGGATACGGAAGGGATATGGGCTAACTGCCAAACAACTGCACATACAGGATTCTTTACTTTGAATAAGGTGAGTTAAGATATTCAAAGCTAAAAGAACCTCTCCATTAAAACTATGCCAAAAAGAAAATGAGGCACATATTGAATAGAAACAAACTACCAGCTGTAAATGTCCGTGACATCACCGTATTCTGCAATAAACAAAGAAACAGAAAGTAGTTATAAAAATAGCAGATATTGGAAAATAAGGAAATATATAGCAACATAAGAAAAATAAGGTGTCAATGAGAGAGCGTAAGGAAAGGAACCTAAAAAGATCAACTAACAAAAACTAAAATGTGGAGATCACCAATGAATAATATGTGGAAAAGAAGTAACTGCAAAAGGATACCAAGAAGTGAGGGAAAAGTGTATGCCAACTTAAATAAGTAAAACGGCCACTTCCAACAAAAATTTAACATGTTCGTTGTTCAGTAATTCTTGCTGTCAAACAAGATTATGAAACAAAAGATGTTGACATGAGATCATAACACTGATTAACAAGGCAATAGATTAGTGTATGGATACTTAAATTAGAGACTACATAATCCAACTCTGGGCCAATAAAACCAAAGAAACTTTTGAAACAAGTAAATAAGTTACCTTTAATCTGTCTTTTGATAAATGCTACTCCAATTTCAACAAATAAAGGATCAGAAGGATCAAGAAGATAAGTGCAGCACCATCGTGGATTACCATTAACAGTATTCCTGTATTTAAGGAGTAAAAACTTCCAACATTAAGTACATGATAAGCAAACAATTTGCACATGAAAGAGAATTTTCAATTATGTACCTCCAAGTGTCCAACATGAAATAAAACATTCAACCTCACATGTCGAGAACACAATCGTACTCATATATCTAAAAAACTATGGAACAATTATACTCATTAGTTGGAGAAGTTCTAACAAGCTCTTTGTCCTGATTTACATGTTAGCTTCTCCTCATAACAGAATAAATAAAATTTTGTCATTCATTTTCACTGAGCTCATGAAGTGATGCTACTCTTTCCAAGATTTGCAATTCTATGAGTAGATTCATCTCTCCTTTTCTCTCTGACTCTTGCGTATAGGAATTTCTCAGCTGCTATGGCGACTAAAGAGAATTAAAACAATGTTATCCAATTCTCACCTTTTTATTTTTTCCTAATTCTTTAGTTTGCATGCATGCCACACATTTTCTCTCAAGGTNAATCTCGATATATTAGAGTTGTCATCTTATGAAATCTTAATGGTCGAGAAAAGAAAACAAAACTGCTTAGTGAATACAACTTTAATTTTCTAATATACAATGAAGCAACATAAAGATATCTGCATGTGAAAAACTATTAACAGAAAAATTTCACAGAGTGGAAACCTTTGTTCATTTGACGGTACCTTCTTTTGCATTCAAATGTCAATATCCACAATTTAAACTTACAGAATCTCTGTTTAATACTTAGTTAACATGTAATGAAGCAGTAGAAAGAAGAAATCAAAGCGTCTGAATGTGAGATACAAAATATTTCCCTTTTTCCTCGACACCTTTCAAGGGAGAGAGAGACTAAAAGAAAATATAAGCATAAATCATAATGAAGACAGTGAAACCGATCAATGAAATATAGCAATATAAAGAGAAAAAAGAAAGAGAGAGAAAAGAGTACCAGTTCCCAAGTCTGCTTATGTTTGCCATTGGGAAAATAGCTTTCATGGCAGCTGGAACATTCCCAGAAAATGCTGGAAGAACTACCAAAAATATATACATATATATAGTTGGTAAGTGTATATTGGAGTGATGAGAATAAAGGCAAAATATGATTTGGGAAAAAAAAAANCAAAAAAAAAAAAAAAAAAGGAAATCATATAAGAATCAGGACTATGTACCTGGAGTCATCCCAAGCTGTACCATTCGGAATAGTATTTGTTTTTGCAACTGCAATTGTTTATCTAACCAATTCTGGGTCAATGGCCCACCCCATCTGCAATGTAAGAAGATATCAGAATTTAGAAGTAAGGTTTTGGAACTGGGAAATGGTTCGAACTGAATGCTGACAAGAAAAGGCATTTTCTCCAGTAATGTCAGCTGATATATATGCCGCCATTTATTTTCTTTGAAAAATATCATCAGCTTATATTCAGAAGCACCAATTACCAATATCTAAACGTAGAACATCAATGCAGGATAGAAACATAAATGGAAGAGATGTGCAAACCCATGTAAGTTTCCCATACGTGCCCAAGCAAGAAAGGCAGGTCCACCAAAGAAATCATTTAGTTCCTGTTGAGTAATATTAAACTCCTGCAACAGGAAAATGAACAGAAGTAGGGAAATAATTTTCTTGAAAAGTTTGAGGAACTATCCAGGCATGCATTGGCATGCTCATGAAGTAAACAAACAAAACGAAAAGATAATCAAAAGATATAACAAACATACAGCAAAAACTTTTTGCCAAATTGCTTCTTGTCCTGTGAACGCTAATGGCAGATTTACTCCCTGAAGTGCCATCCAATCAATCTCTTTTTCCCATCTTGCCCAGTCCCACCAAACATAGGAATCTGCAAATGAACAATGGAAGTCTGCTGAGCTGTAATAGAAGCAGAAACTGCTGATAATTAAAAGAAAAAAATGTGTTCCATATCTCCCAATCAATATCCGTATGCGCTCAGTTTATATAAAATAACAATAAAAAAAAAAAAAACCTCAAAGGAATTTGATACAGTTATATTTACATATTGATAGAAATGACATTTATATATGATTTTTTTTTTAAATCTTAAATTTATGGAAAAATGAAAATTTGAATGTGATTTGACAAGAAAAATATGTGAAGCAAGAAGTTATAAAGAACGAGTTTACCTTATCAAATGTACAAGTTATGTGTTCTAAGACTACCAATATGGACCACCCAAATACTCAATTGCCGGTCATTCCCCACAGAACATAGAATTTACCCATAAGAAGGCCCTATCAATTAGTTTCTTTACTGAAGTGGACTTTTGAAGTGGACTTTGACGGGAACAAGTTTAGAGCACAATTTCTCGTAGACTATGTCTTTGCCTATGAATATCACTATTAAGACACCCCAAACTGAAACCTATACTTTATAGTCCAACAAATAGCAAAATATCAATCAGGTTTCAGCACGCTGTAAAATTGTTTTACCACGTGAAACTTTTAAAAACTTGGAAAGTCGAATAAGGGAAATAAACATCAAATTTCAAAAATTTGAAAATCCAGAAGAGACAAAAGGTCATTACTATCATAAGTGTGGTTCAACAGTCGAAACGAATTAGCTCAATGCAAACGAAGGAAGGTAATATCAGTGAACTTATAATAACTAAAGTCTCCATAACTGATATTAAGGGAACAGCCGAAATGAATCCAGTGTGTAAACTCAATGTAGTACAGAGTCTGAATGCATCTACATAAGGGAGACAGATAAACCAACAACCCTCAGGATTTCAGAGACCAAAGGAAATTCTTACAGCTAGACGTGACGACATTTTGATAATAGTTCCATGGTATTGGACGTTGAATCATCACGTCCTCATCACTCACAGGAGGGAGTGATCCAGGCTCAGGAACAGTACTGAGTTGGGCCCCACCCGTTTTGTCCCACGAAACATGAGCTCCACATGAGTACTTTAGATACCAATGTAGTCCTGATGTCATGTCAACTGCTGTGGTTCCTTTTATCCTAGGTAAGGTGGAAACAAATATGGAAGTTTCAGAATCATGAAAGTAGAGCCATTCTCATATTCCAACTGGATACAAGAAAATACATATATAATGTTACTTTTTAGAGAAATAAAAACTGAATAAATTTTTTATGTGATGACCATTTAACTTGGTTAATATAGCTTAACCGGGAAGGTATGGCAGACAAGTATGATTCTATAATTTCATCATTTTACTTTTGCTGCAACTATAAAGTCCCATCGAGCAAATAATAGAACTCCAACATTCAGAAAAAAATCCACAACAATATATATAGCCAAAGGCAGCCTCTTCACTCATTCCCAGTAGTTTTTGGTTGAGCTCTGTAGAGCAAGTGACTATCGTGTTTAGTCTCCCCATCGTAAATTAATGAAATCTCTGTTAGTATGAAAATGGTGTTTTGAAGAGATTAAAGTAGTGCATTTCGCCCATTTCAATAGTTTGAGGCTTAGATTTGATAGTTCACCTATCGAAAGCTAAGTTCAATAGGAGTGAGATGAAACAAATATTGCGCAAAGATCTGCTACTTTCACAAATTGGTTCATCCTCGTTAGAAACTTTGAAATAATATTTTCCGATCCACATAAAGGTGCATGTCAGAAGCTTCTCATGCCATGTGAGTACCTATCAAGATATCAAAAACTTATACAACCTAATTATTGACTTTTTTTCTCAGAAATTACAAACATAACCCAATTGTACCTACATTATTTCAGTTGAGTCTCTGCTTGAACTCTTGTGATTGCTGATTTGAAAGCAGCTTCTTCCACCGCAAACATCCTAATATTTGGAACAGTCGCAGCTCACTTAAAACATAGTACAAATATTAGTAGGAAAAGAAAATCGCCAATTAAAGTACGGGAAACACCAAATAGGGATGGATTATTGCAATTTCAAAGCAAAACTGCATCAGATCATCTCATAGTGATCTTAAGTTGGCTGAATTGAAATGATAGAAGCAGTGAACGGTGGAAATACTAAAATAATTAAGGACGAAAAATCAACAATCTCAAATTCACTGACAAATGATGTGTCGAATGGCAATAAACTTCACAGTAACTTCACTGTACTCTCCAAGAAACCAACCAATTCTATCTTAAAAATAAGAATTAATCACTTGAAGAAGCTGAACTGTGATAACACCTTTGATATAATCTTGAATTTGAAGCTGGACAAATGGGTTGGGAGTAGCCTATGAAGAACACCCATCGCCGCAGATTCTTGTACGCGAGGTGACGGTTTCTTGGCATCTAGACGGTGCAGTAGAGTTTCTACAGCTTCTGATTCTTGAACTGAAAATGAGGAACATTTGGATAATAGCAGCAGTGAAATTGTTATGAATAATAAGTCTGGTTCGGATTTCATGTTTAGGAATGTATACTGCAAAATATTGTTCTTCAGACTTGTGGAGCTGAGTTCCTTTTTTCACTCCTTTTTTTCCGTCTCTTCTTGGATAATATAGAAAGGCTACGGGAAGATAATTAGAAAACAGAGAATAATTAATTTCCTGCTAATCAGGCAATTAACTCAGTAATCGAGATTGAGAAAGCGATGGCGAGGAGCGTGGGGGAGCTACCGGAGGAGTGACAGAGCCACGTCGTGTCATTCACGTGCCCGCGGGACGCGTGCTGCTCGTCCGCTCGGAAAATTCGACACTCAGATGCTTTCCCCAAACACAACTTTGGAGCCTATCTCGTTTTTCAGTTAACGGGTCGGGATTTTGGGTTGAGCTCCTCGCCTTTGGAGGTCTCGGTTGAAATTGGGGACCGTAAAAAAACGGGCAGATTTTACCTGAAGCAGGACGAGTGCAAGGGGCAGGAGGAGTCTGACGTGGCGTCCAGGGCCCTCAGCCCACGTGGCGACGGCTGGTCGGAGGTCAAATTAGGGGAGTTCTACGTCAGTGGGGCCCACAAAGAGGTGAAGATGGAATTTAGGGTGTGTTTGGTTCAATGAAGGGGAAGGGAGGGGAGGGATTTTAATGGAGGGGAAGAGAGGGGAGGGGAGGTGATGTAAAAGAAGGGAGGGAAAATAGTAAACCTTGTTTGGTTCAAAAATTAAAGGAAGGGAAAATAAAATTAAAATGACAAACTTACCCTTAATGAAATAAGATAAAAAATAAAAAACAATTGAAAGTAGGGACTAAATGGTATTTTCACACCATCTTAACACATTTTCCTTCCAAATCCCTCCAATTTTGGAGGGGAGGTAAAGTGAGGGAGGGGAGGGAAATTTACTTAAAATTTTCCTCTCCCTCCCCTCCTAATTTTTCAACCAAACAAGAGAAAACTAAAATTTTCCCTCCCCTCCCCTCCAAATCCCTCGAACCAAACACTACCTTAAAGAAGTCAAGAGCGAGCCTTAAGGGAGATCTTCTCGTTGATGGCATTGAGCTCAGGCCAAAGCATTTCTTCTAAGGCAAAAAAAGGCTAATTATAGGAATGGTCGCGTGCACTTTTTTAATTACAAACTAGTATTTTATCTTTTATACATGCACAAATACAAATAAAATTTTATACGTTATATATGTGTGTGTATTAAGTAAAATTTTAAACTCATAATTAGATAGTGAACATATCACATCTATAAATTTATCATTACTAATGTTGACATTCGAGTTCGCCGATAAGACCGAACCGGACAACACGATTCCGAGAGCCAAACCGGAGACCCGGTCCACCCATAAAGTGCCGAGCTGGACCGTAAAATTTTTTGACCTAGACGTCCCCAAGAGTCCGTCTGCTAGTCCGGCGTTTGCGACTACGAAGTCCAGATGTCGACCTGAAGAGTGACGGTCTGGAAGAAAGGTTCCCCAGGGTCGGAAGGACAAGTAAGGAAAAGGTGCCGACCTGGAGTCCCAGGACGGGCTACTGTAATGAAGGTGTCGACCTCGATAGTATTATAATAATGCCACTTGGAGGGTAATCATTGGCTAATGGATGGGACGACCTAGCCTGTTGACCTATTCCCCCCAGCCAAGACATAAAGCCTGTCAGCATTAAATGCCCGTCGGACAATGATGAGGAAAACCTCAAATCGCATTAAATTCTGTCAGGGAGGCGCCGAACTACTCTGCCAGAAACACTGTACGACAAGACTGATGAACAGTATCTGAACAGTGCCACATTTAAGGCAACTATAAATAGCAGCCCACTTCATTTATTTTGGGTTGTTGAATCCCAACTGTAAAAGCTATCTCTCTACTTTCTCTCTCTAAAACTCGTGTGATTACTCTGTAACAATTTGTAAGGATATTGCAAGTGCCGACCTCGTACTAGAGGCCGACCTCGCGATCTATCAATAAAACCGCAATTAAACCGTATTTCCTTCTCTTTTCCTTATTCTCTTTTCATTATTTAATCTCTTTAACCGTTGACCGGAAACGCCCGTCAACAACTAAATTAATCATATAAATATAAATTATTTAACTTACATATTAGTTTTTAAATTTATGCAATTATGGTTGATTATGACAATTAATTTGATAAAAAAACATTGAAATTATTATGATAGCAATTGTGTATAAAACTTTAATGTGTTTGGTTATGCCATCAAAAAATAATTAACTAGTTTTAATTAAAAAACTTACTTAATGAGGTGAAAAAAAATAATATTTTTAAATATAAAGTTTGACAAAGCTTTATATTAGAATAACATTTAATGTGCCTTCATTATTAGTTAATAGTAGCAATTATATAATAACATAAATAAAAAAATATAATTGTGATTAATGAAAAAGAAATGAAAAAAGACAGGAAAACAAAAGGAGCTCTATTAATTGCTTTGCTATCAATTATATATATAGATTGACCTTACAATTGCTTTTGTAAGTTTTTAGTAACTTTCGTGTGATAGGTATATAAATATTAACTAGAAAAATTCAATAATAACTTAAATTTAATTAAACTCCAACTCTGGTCAATATTATCAATATATCTCAAACTATAATTTTCGAATACATTGATAATAAGTGGTAGACTCGCACACTTCACAATCCTATGTGTAAAATAATCATTCTTCCGAGTTAGACTTGAATATAAATTAATATTTTTTTTTATAAAATATTAGGCCTGAATTACATTAAATTATATGATTCACACTAAATTCCTGATTGATCTTTTCTTTATTTTCTTCCGCAATTAATTACCAAAAATTATTTTTATTGTCTATTACATATATTACCATATATATTATATTCATATTCTTATTCAATTCATACATCAATTACTATAAATGTGTTTTCTCTTATTTTTTAAAATTTTATAATTTGTTAGTTTTTATTTTATTTTTTTATATATGATATATCAAATTAATTATCTTTTAACTATCTTACATTTGACATTTATATTAAATATATAAAATACAAAAGTGATATCTATCCATACAACTAAATTTACATTTATATACCAGACCAAACTAGAAAATATCAAATAAAACTATAAACCATTTTATAAAGTAATACAAATTTATTTGGATTAATATACAATAAAAATTCTTTTATTTTTTAGAAAAAAATATACAAACTAAGTATGAACATAAAATCAATATAAAATATTCTAAATATTTATGTTTCAATTTAAATGAAGACTATAAAAAATTGAACATTACAATGATATTTAAAAATTAAATAAACAAAGTCTAACTGAATATTATAATTAAAATAATAAAAATATTTATTATATTTCATAAAATTTAAGAATGTTACATTCATACTCATTCATACCAATTGTGAGAAAACTCACTTTGAGTTCCTACAAAACCAAACAGAAAAGAGAGATGATTAGCAACAAAATGCTAACAAAATACAACAAAAAATACTAACAAAACCTTAATTTAAAAATTTATACTAACCATATCTAGGAGTAGGAAGGTACTCAAGCTCTATTTGCTGCAATTTAATCTGGCAGTTGTGGACTTCAAATCCTAGAGCAATATTTTCGATCAAACTGAGATCGTCTACTTCATATTCCTTGGTGGGTTTACATTTCTCCTTCATTCGTGGTTCAAATTGTTGTCTCACTAGTTGAAATTAAGAGGCCTCCTTTACCGATTGTGATTAATGAAGGTTCGAATTGGTGCTTCACTGGTTGAGATTGAGAGGTCTCCTCACCGATTGCGATTTCTCCTTCAATGATTCATGTTTCTCCTTCAATTGAGAAATATCTTTGGCTATTTTAGACTTATCCTTAAATGATTTTACTTTTTTCCTCACCATCTTGAAACAATTTTGATTATGTGAAATGTCGGGAAATTGAGAGCCGAATATTTAGGTTTTTTCGCATCCTTTGACGTTTTAGATTTTTAGGAATTGAGAATGAATCTGTTGATTTAGGTTGCAGATTTTGGGACAAAATCTCATAAGTTTTGGTTCATGTCTAAACCCACAATGTAAATCACAATCACTCCACGTCAGATAAAAAACTAGCCACCTCAATCGACGTCAATTTTTTTATCCAGGATGCGGATAAAAAGAGATCAAAATTGATAAAATTGACAAATTATTGGACCTAAATTGAAAGTGGTCGATGATATAATGAATTTTAGGACTTCCACCAAATTATAATATCAATTTTGAATTTTGACCCATTCAAAAATCTATATCTACATCTCTCTCTCTCTATATATATATATATAAAGGTTTGATTATTTTTTAAATAGTAACTATTTTCCTCTAAAAAAATCTATTCACTATTTCAGATAATTAATTTAACAATTATGGTATACTTCCAATAATTACTTATAGAAATTGCGGCTCATTAATTAAGGAAATAATTAAGCCATAAAAATGAATAAAATCCTCCATTTCATGCCACTGAGCGAGCAAAATCATTAAAATGGAAATGAGCACATCATAAAATCGTGAAAACTAAAATGGAACATGATTTATTATAGGTGGAGTATGAAACACCCGTTGTTATTTTTATTGAAGGTGGAGTGTGATTTATTAAAAAAACGCACACGTTATTATTGTCATGCTACATGAACAAATTAATCTATAACTTAAGTTTTTAAAAATACACACAACACATATACGCTATTTTTTATTTTATTTTTTATTTTATTTTTTATTTTTATTACTATGACATTACTAAATAAACTGTTTAAATTTTTCCAACGCAAAATTTGGTACACCAGTTGGTAAATAAATCTATAGTAATATAAAGAGGTTGTTGGAAAAATACTTTTATAGTAAGTTTGACTAAAAAAATAAATAGTTTGACTTACTATTAATGGAAATTTCGAAGAAAACGCATGTACCAAAAAAATTGAGATCTTTATGGTAACAAATTTGGAGATTTTAATGGTAACAAATTTAATTGAGATATCCCAAAAATATTGGAGATTTTTATGGTAACAAATTTGGAGATTCCTATACCAAAATCTAATTCATTTTAAATATAAATTCATAGGAATCTACTTTTATTGGTAACAAATTTAAAGATTGTTATGCCAAAAAATTGAGATTTTGAATTTAGATATTCCAACAATTACGGATTTTTTTCCTATTCAAATTAATGTTGTAAATCAAACAAAAATTTATTCCAAAAATAATGGATGTTATACCAACTATTGATAAACTCCAATCACATAGGAGATTTCTATGGGATTCTTATGGTAACAAATTGAGATTCTTATGCCAAAAAATTGAGATTTTGAATTGAGATATCCTAACAATTTCGGATTTTTTCCCCTTCAAATTCATGATGTAAATCAAACAAAAAATTATTCCGAGAATAATGGATGCTATACTAAATATGGATAAACTCCAATCCATAGGAGATTTTTATGGGTTTCTTATGGTAACAAATTGAAGATTCTTATAGTAACAAATTTGGAGATTCTTATACCAAAATTTAATACATTTAAATATTAAT